GTAGATTTCCCAACCTTTCTTTCTGAGGAGTGGCTGGGGGGTTTGAACCACCAGCCTTCTGGTTAGCAGTCAAGTGCCTTAGCCACTACGCTACCAGAGCTCCTTTTATAAGCATAAATGACCCTCAATCATTCCATAGCTAACCAATTACGATAGCTCTTCCTTAGAATATGAATTTTACAATTCTCCAAGGTTCATCCTATCTGGGGCTTTTTCAGGGTCTTCCAGATGATTCATTCTTGCTCTGAGATGAGAACTGGATGATGATGGAGAAAGTGCTGGCTAATGCTTATGGAAATGAACTGTTTTGAAAACTATATTCATCTCATGTCTCCTTTTTCTTTTCAGGATATGGTAACACAGAAAAACACAGTAAGTATTACATTTTTTTGATTTTTAGCTTTGGTTGTGAAATAGTAAAATGTTTGTCTGAAAATAACACAGAGAGCAACGTTACTTCTAATCTCGTTAGCTGTGCTTCTAAGGAGGACAGCTGAAAACCCCTGTCCTGCAAGCTACCAGCCTGCTCAGGCCCCTCCTGGGCAGGCAATGAAGGTATGGAACAGAAGGCAAGGTCAGACAAATGCACTTTTTCCCTTACTTCCCTGTGGCTTTAGGCTTGGAGCTGCTGCCCATGTAAGGTCCTTCTAAGGTTGGCATAGTGTTCTATGAACCCCCAAGATTTTGTTGCCAGAGCCCATACCTGCCATGCTTTCCCACCAAAGTTCCTCTAATGATGGGGAACTTGAACTTGTACCCCAGTTTATATGAAGGCCTTAGTCAAAGTTCCCTGCTACCACCTGTAGAGAAGTGGACACAGTTTCACTTCATTTTGTCCCATTCATGTACTGAAGTCTTCTGATTTGGATGAAATGTTCCTGTAATTATATAGTAATATTGCCATGTTTGTTGGAATAGTCTAATGATGAAAAAATTTTCCTTAAGACAAGAAGAGGTAGATTGAGGCAAGGAGCAAGGGAGAGAGAGCTTTCTTTTTCTGCCCTGACTATGGCATCTGTCAGAGCTAAGAGCTAAGCTTGACCTCCAGGAGACTTGATCTCATTCAGTTACGATTCCTCTATGTGGCCTCCCTTCTTCTTTTATTTTACATAATGTATTGTGTTTTCAGTGAAGGTTTGTGCAGCAGTTTAGATTCCCATTCACCAATTTCTACACAAGTTGTTTGGTGACATTGGTTGCTTTTGTCACAATGCGTGAACATTTTCCTGATTTCCATTCCGGTGGTTCCATTTCCATTAATTTAGTTTCTCTGCTCCTTTACATTCTTATCTTGGTTTTAAGGTAATTGTTGACAGTTTGGTTTCACAGGTGATAAGTATTTTGGGGGCCAGCTTGTTAGTTAGCTACATGATAATTTCAGAGGTTAGTTTTAGTTTAAGATTTGAAGACTATCTCAGGGTCATCCAGTCTCAACCAGTCATGTAGGTCTGTTTTTTTTTTTTTTTTTAAATGGATTTGAGATCCTGTTCCACATTTTTGTCTCATTATATCAAGGTCCATTTTATTGTGGCCCTGATTAGAACAGTTGCTAGTAATGGTCGGGCACCATCTAGTTCTTCTGGTCTCAGGGTAGATGAGACTGGTTTGTGTTGATTATTTGTCCTGTAGACTAGTTTCTTTGACTTCCCTTCTTTCTCTTTTGCTCTAGAGAAGTAGAAGCCAATAGTTGTGTCTTAGATGCCTACTGGCTTCCCTTCTAGTACATCCATCCCTTTTTTCCTAAACACCCTATTAAAACATATTGCCTTCAAGTTGATTCTGACTCATAGCAACCTTAAAGGACAGGGAAGAATAGCCCCATAAGGTTTCCAAGAGTGTGTGTAATCTTTATAGAAGCAGATAGCCACATCTTTCTCCTGAGGAATAGTTGGGTGCATTCAGACTGCTGTGATTACCAGCTGAGCGCTTAACAACTGAGCCACCAGGGTTTCTTCTTAAACACCCAGGAATTTCTTAATGATCTCAGTAATTCTAACTATATATCTTGGTACTGTTCTCTCTCTCTCTCTCTTTTGAGGAGAGGGGGTAATAAACTTATTGTAGAGATTTTGGCAACTAATCTCTCTGCTACAGTTGACATTATTTTTAATTTTTATTGTGATTTGGATGAGAGTTTACAGAACAAATTCATTTTCCATACAGCAGTTTATACACATTTTGTTTCATGACGCTGACTGCAATTTCCTACAGTGTAACAGCTCTTTTCCCATTTCTTCCCTGTAGTTACCTCTTCCCTGTCTCCTCCTTTCCTGTGCATTCCTGCCCCCTGAGCTCTCTCCTTGTGTGTATACTGTGCTTCTCTGTTCTCCCCTGATTGACCATTCTAAGGAGTATAAATGTAACTGTTCACCCTATATGCCTGTCTGTTGTTTGGCTGGAAGCCACAGGAATGAGTTCATTTCTGGACCTGAGGGGTAACTAGGGGCTATAGTCTCGGGGGTCTCACCAGGCTCTTTCA